TTGATGACTGATATGACAATTTGATATTTACACTGTTTTACACTCCACCCTATATGTCAAATAAATAATTATTGTAACAATCAAATCATTCAAGATAAAGAAGAAAAAATTAAAAAAGGAAAGTAATAAATGAAAGTAACAGCCAGTTGTCTTTAAAAAAATAATAAAATATTCATTTGACATTTTGCTTTTGGGATGTCAAAAGTAACAACCGAACCTCCAGCCTTCATTCCACATCAACTTTAACAATTCGGTTGGAGAGATGTGAGATGTTATTTCTAGCCGTTAAATATCTATGTGGCACTTTTGACATATCGGTTGGAGATGCTTTTAGGCTTCAAAATTCATTTTTAGAGCCTAATTCTTGCCAAGGCAAGAGGTGAGCTCCACCAACTCCGGCAAGACCTAAGGCAAGATGAGCCTGAGCTCCTACCCGCAGGCTCTGACGTCAGCGTTGACGCCAGGCTAGCATCAGCACACAAAATTATTATTTTTTTACTATTGGCGCATGACATACTAGCGGGGACTGTGCGCGTTACGCACGCCAACGGTAAAAAAGACATGGACAAGAAAAATTGGGAAACCATGGCCATGGATACGAGCCATATGTCCCCTAAAACAAAGGCGTTTTGGAAGAAAGAACGAATGGATGTTATGAGAAGAAGGCTTTTCTATGACGATGGACCTAACAGCATGGATTAGTTAAATAACGAAAATCATTAGGTTGTATTGATAGAGTTGCCATTTCTTAATTAGTTGTATTGATTGTCTTTTATTGAATAAAGAAAGCATTCAATTATATAACCATTTATTTAAAACATTGCATAAATCAAAACAATTCACAAATAAAACAAAGCATAATTCAAAACTAAGCATTAAACTTGACTTCATTGACCGTTATTGTCTCTCAGTGCCCATAAGTGCTCGATCAAGTCAACTTGATATCTTTCGTGAACATAAGAAGATTGCATTTCCGTATAACGATCAATCATACGATTGTTGTAACGGCAGTACCTAATCAACGGTTCGTGCTCCAAGGGTTGTCCATTTACTCCCACGACTCGTTCATAAATTCTTGTCAATGTCGTGTTTATAGGATAGGGTTCAAACAACTTTAGTTCATCATAATCATCCTCCAAAATCATATTATAGTGGATGATGCAAGTCATTATAATGCTCATAAGCACTTCTTCATCAAACATACGAGAAGCCTCCCTAATGATTGGGCAACGAGCTTGGAGGATACTAAAACATCTTTCCACATTTTTCATATAACCCTTTTGATAGACAGCAAAGTATTTTTTCTTCTTCGATTGGGGATGCCAAATTGTTTTGACGCATGTCGTCCACCTCGGGTAAATTCTGTCTGTTAGGTAGTACCCACCCAAGTAGACAATATTGTTGATTTGATACGTGATCTGAGGGGAATGTCTTCTCAACACATCATTGAACACCAGGAATTGATCAAGCACATTAAGGTCGTTTTGAGATCCTGTAACATCGAAAAAGGCATGCCAAACCCAGGTATCGAATGATACTTTTTTTGCCCTTTCTATTCCCATAATCTTCTTGCCATGTAGTTGGGCAATTCTTCCACTCCCAGTGCATGCATGCGATGCTTCCAATCATGCTTAGGAAACCTCGAGCCTCGGCTTTTTGTAGAAGCCTTTGGAGGTCCCTAGTCGTAGGTTTGCGGAGGTAATCCCTTGTGTAGATAGTTTTAATTGCATCACAAAATCTAACCAAACGCTCTAGGATAATAAATTTCCTCATCCTAGCAATCTCATCCACCTGGTCTGAAAATGCGTCATACACTTATAGCCGTAAAGAAGCTATAAGTGTTTGCTCCGGAAGAAGACTAAAAACCCTAAGAGCATCATACTTCTGAACGAAGTATGCGTCGTAATTGCAAACATCATGCATGATTTTATTGAATAAATGAGGGTGCATTCTATATCGCCCTTGAAAATCAACACTAGAGTACAACGAATTTGGGAAAAATTAATCTTCCAAGAGATTCTTATCCAAAGAATGCGTACGTCTGTTCGTGTTCGGGCCACGGCCGAGTTGTGAACCATGGTGGTGTTGGCTTGATTGATCGAGCATACCCACCGCTAAAACAACTTGATCATCATCTGCTTCCCCCTCCCTTTCTTCTTCAGCACATTTATGCATTTTTTCTTCATTTTCTCGCTCGACCCTCTCCAACAACCTCCTCATGTAAGACATTGAAAGTAGAATGTATTTTGTAAAATCTGAGAAAAGAAAGGATAGAGAGGATATGGATGATTGGTGTGAGTTGAGGGTGTGGTTTTATAATAGGATTTAGAAGATATAGATGACACATGGCGCAATAATAGCAACCGAAAATCTTATTCGAAATATGAGATGTGAATTTTATAATAAATATGGACATGTGAAAACAGAAAATCTTATCCGAAATTTGAGATGTGAATTTTATAATAAATATAGACACGTGACAACCGAAAATCTTATTTGAATATTTTATTCAAAATATGAGAAGTGAATTTTATAATAAATATGGACACATGAAAATCGAAAATCTTATACAAATTAATCTTATAAGTATTTAAAAATAAAATTAGTTTGTTGTAAATAGTAATTGCCCTTTACCATGATAATGGGTGAAAAAGCAACAACAAAATTGCTACGGCAAGACTATTCACGTGAATAGTAAGATCCCTTACCTCTCCTTGCCTTTTACCATGAAAAATGGAGTGGAAATGCTCTAAGCGACTTAGTAATGCCTACTATATCATTCTTGGCTCGAACACTACTTTGTGCCATCCATTGTTAAATTTGAAGAGTGCTATTATTAGTCGTGTGTGAGCTCACATACATCCATCCACACACCGAAACACAACTTACCATAGTAATAAGTACTAAAAACACTATGGTAAGAAATATTTATGTAATTGAATAAAAAGTTTTTGAAAAGAAGAAAAGAAGAGGGTGAAAAATAAAAATTTAAAAGTGAAAGTGGGGCGTTGCGCCTAAAGATGAGTAGCAGAGTGGTGGTGGGCAGTGGGCACTTCACTTATAGGCTTATGAGAGCACGTCAAAGGAAAAAGCGTACGTCTCTCTCTCTCTCTCTCTCTCTCTCTCTTTCTCTCTGAGTCTGCGTGTAGTAAAACTGGCTCGCACAGACAAGACAGCATTTGAGTCTGCGTGTAGTAAAACTGGCTCGCACAGACAAGACAGCATTATTTATGACTTCCTAATGAGACACAAAGAGCCATAGAGAGAGAGAGTGAGCGAGCAAGTCAGCCTCACCCTTTCCATTCCACCCACTCTCTCGCTCCTTGGACTTGTTCAAGACGCGCCCCTCTCTCTCGTTTCTTTTTTTTACTGGTAAAACAGTCTCTCTCTCTGATCATTTCAAAAGCAAAGGCATGTTTGGACATTTGCTTGTATGTCGCGTGGTGGATGCCATGTTATGTTAAGTCGATCCATCGTCTTGTAAATCTTGTTTTGTTTGTTCTCTCGTGGTGGACTGGGCTGGCCAAGGGTTTTGTCAATGGCAGATCTGCTTCAACTCCATCCCCAGCTTTTTTTTTAACACATTTCTTTCTTTTTCTTTTTTACTTTTACAACAAGGAATGTGAAGGTCCCTATACATGAATCATGACTTGTAGTGAAAGGTAAGTACGAATTAAGCTGTAAATTTATGGGTGCATGGTGAGAGTTTTTCTCTTCACTCCAGAAACAAGAAAACCATGAAATATAAGTAAATTTCGATATGTAGAATTATGAGAGCGACCGACATATTTAGACAAGAATCAACGCGATCAATGTTCCAGATTCACAGTCATGCATGTAAATATCTCGTGTTGATAGACGGTGTAGTAAAAGAAGACTTCCTTGTATGATTATCACATTATGTTTGAACTTACCATAGTGGAATTAAACCATATGTTAAACATATCACATTATGACCATATAACCTTTGAAAAATTAAAATATATTACAAATTTGATTATGAGAAGAATTATTGTTTGCAAATGAGGCAAAGAAAAGATGCAAAGCAGGTTCTCATTTTGTCAACAAAGCAAGATCGACATGAATGTATCAACAAATCATATTAAAAATTAAAATATATTACAAATTTGATTATGAGAAGAATTATTGTTTGCAATGAGGCAAAGAAAAGATGCAAAGCAGGTTCTCATTTTGTCAACAAAGCAAGATCGACATGAATGTATCAACAAATCATATCAAACTCTAGATCAGAAGTGGGATTTATTCAACTCAAAAAAGGAAAAAAGAGAAAAGAAAGAAAAAACACAACTCACTCACAAAGAAGTGGGAGATTTGTTAAAGACTGTTTGTTTGTTATGTCAAACACTAACCCAAAGCAAAGACTTGTTAATTTGCCTATACTTTCTTCTACTGCCTTTCTAATTAATAATTGTTCCTAACACGACTTTATTTATTTTTTTAATTTTTATACAATCGATATTTTACTTGAATATAATCTAATTACAGAAATGAGAATTTGAACTCGAGTACAAAATAAACCGCACATTCGTTTTAGCCAACTTCACTGACGACTTTAATATTGCATAGGGACATATATGCATTATTATAATATCATTTGTTGTTTCTAAAACCCTCAAAAATCAATGAAGAGTCCAAGACACATAAATGCTTGGAAGCATAAACCCAAAAGTGTATTAACTATACAACCCCTACTAGTTACTTCTTTCTACTACTGCGAATAGAGTCTATAGGCTCTGTTTCTCTTTCTCTCTCTTTTGAGTCTTCTTGAGCAATGAGCACAGTGACTCTTTATTTAGGCTTCTATAAGAGGTTGTTTTCAATGGGTCCGGCTTGGTGTGTGTGCCGTTACATTTCTGCCCGCCAACGAAACACACCGAAAGCACAAAAGAAAAGAATGAAAGAAAAGAAAGAAAAGAAAGAAAAGAAAAGAAAAGAAAAGAAATTCCAAAACCCAATATATATATAAAAAAGGACAAGCGTGAAACCCACTCTGCTCTAAAATCAATCCCCCTACCCCCTCTTTTTCTTCTTTCCCTGTCACCCTCTCCCCCCCTCTCTCTCTCCTTCTCTCCCTCTCTCTAGCTATACTCTATTCTCCACACCACAACCCAAAGCAAAAATACAGAGATATGGGTGTGAGACTGATGAGCTTTTCTTTTGTATAATGAGCAGAGGACTAAAACCTCTTCTTCTTAGAAGAAGATGGCAATGAAACAAAATGAGCAAAACCACCAAGAACAACAGCAACAACAAACCCATTCACTTTTGTTGGATGCTTTGTTGTGTGAAGAGGAGAAATGGGAGGAGGATGAAGGAGAAGTAGTGCAAGATTCTTTAGAGGAAGTGACCAGTGAGAACTACAAGAATGACATTAATGGGCACAACCCAGCCTGCCCTTCTCTGTTTCCCCTGCTCTTGTTGGAACAAGATCTGTTCTGGGAAGATGAAGAGCTTGTCTCTCTCTTCTCCAAAGAAGAGCAGCAGCAGACCCATTTCATCAAACACTTGGAGGACATGGGAAACGAAGCACCAGAGCACTCTTTGATCTCTGCGGCTCGTCGTGAAGCTGTCTTGTGGATGCTCAAAGTCAATGCCCATTATGGGTTCACTGCTCTCACTGCAATCCTAGCCATTAACTACTTTGACAGGTTCATCTCCAGCCTCCATTTTCAGAGGGACAAGCCATGGATGGTGCAGCTTGTGGCTGTCACCTGTCTCTCCTTGGCAGCCAAAGTGGAAGAAACCCAAGTGCCTCTTCTTCTAGACCTTCAAGTACGTTTAGCCATTTTGAATTCAAAGTATTGACCTTTATTTTCGTTTTTGCTGATTAAATTCTAAAATCTGACATTTGGATTTTGTTCTGTTTCAGGTGGAGGACACAAAGTATGTGTTTGAGGCCAAAACGATTCAAAGAATGGAGCTTTTGGTGCTCTCAACTCTCCAATGGAAGATGCACCCAGTGACCCCACTTTCATTCCTCGACCACATCATAAGGAGGCTTGGATTGAAAACCCTTCTCCACTGGGAGTTTCTCAAGCGCTGTGAGCGTCTTCTTCTCTCTGTGGTCTTTGGTAAGCAAAATCTTTAACGGTTACACTAATCACATTGATATTTGAACCAAAGCTTAGATTCTTTTTTTCGATAAGAACAAAGAACAGAACTTCACCCTTACGACTTCTCATCATTTTGTTTGCTTTTTCTTCATGGGTTTCTCTCAGATTCAAGATTCATTGGTTATTTGCCGTCTGTGTTGGCCACTGCAACAATGATGCGCGTTATAGACCATGTTGAGCCTTGTAATGCCATGGAATATCAAAACCAGCTTCTGGGTGTTCTCAAAATAAGCAAGGTTTGTACTTTAATGCTTTTGTTTCATTCAAGTGAATCATGATGTTCTTCATCAGTTTTCATGCTTCAAACAGAACATCAGTTAATGCACATTATTAGATATATGATTTACTGAATTAATTATGATTAATTATTTCTTAATTAAGTGCTGCATTGTGAAACAGGAAAAGGTGTATGATTGTTACAGTCTCATTCTCGAGCTGTCCAAGGCCTATGATTGTGGCTACAACAATCCCCACAAGCGCAAGCATGAACAAATCCCAGGCAGCCCAAGTGGGGTAATTGATGCGTATTTCAGCTATGATGAAAGCTCAAATGATTCTTGGGCATTGGGCTCATCAATTTCTTCATCCCCGGAGCCACTCCTCAAGAGGAGCAGAGCAGCAGAGAAGGACCAACAGATGAAAATGGCGTCACTCAACAGGCTCTTTGTGGGCATTGTGGGTAGCCCTCCTTAATAAAACCATCATCAATTTATCTTCCTCTCTCAAGAAAAACACAAAAAAAAAATTGAAGTTCAAAAACTCCATGTCTGTTATGGTAATTTCTCTTTTGGTGCAAAATCTAAAGTGCTGTGCTGCTGCTGCTGCCATACATGCATAGTTTCTGTGCCTTAATTTTCCAAACAATGCCCGCAATTCTACAGTCATGTACTGGAGAATTGGAGATGATGGAGTTTGTTATTGATGGCAATTTGGCAATTCACAGCAAAGAGGAGGGACAAGATTGGAAAGTTAAGAATTACTCTCTACATTGAAGTCTGCTTCTCTGTATATTTTGAAATATGGAGAACTCTTATATATTTCCATATATCTCTATATAAGTCTCTCTTTGGCCCATTTGGACATATTATATTAATAAATAAATTTAAACACCAATTTTGTTCATTTGTGTTCAAATATTATCTGTTCACTTCTCATTAGCTCGATCCCTGTATAGCAGAAAAATGGTATGTCAGATGTGTCAGGCATCAAAATCTCTATTTAGTATCTGGTCAATGAAAATGGATTATATTTTGTTTAGGATGATGCTTGTCTCTTATCGTGTAAGGAGATGTGAATCATAGTTTAACATGTATTCAAAAATATTTACACGAAGAAAAACTTATGCACACGTATCAATAGTTTGACAGGAATGTAGGAGCTCATGATATTTTCCTTTTGTTTATGATATAAATTGCAAATTTCAACTTCATAATTAAGATTAAATCTAGAAATTAGATTAAGTTAAGTGGGTTTTTTTTTTTTTGAAAATTTGTTTAAGGGAAGATAGATTTGCATGTGAAGAGAGGAAGAGACTGTCGGGTAGTGGATTTGGTGGAAGTAAGACTTTTTGATTGCGGAGTTTGACCTTGTTGGAAGAGCCACTTTCTTTTCTTTATGTGACCAAAAATAAAATAAAATAAAATAAAATTTGTGATGTTGGTGTAAGATTGAGGTAACCGTAATCTTCTGTGTATGAACCTAACCCCCCACCTAGTGGCCTACACTTAAAAAACACCATATAATGCTCTCTTTTAGATCTTCTTCACCTTTTTGGCTTCAAGTGTTAGATTGGTCATGCAATGCAGCTGTCCTATCCTTTACGTGCCTATGGAGAGAGTGTGCTCAGTTGCAAGACTGTCATTTGAAGTGGTCAATAATAAACCATTTTATTTGGTAAGTCTTTGTTTTGTTCATCAATTAGGGAAAAGAGTTTTTATGGTCAATTGATAATGAAATGAAGATTAGCTTTCTAAATTCTAAAAGAAAGAAAAAAGAGAGTATTTATGTAGGAAGATGTGATTCACACTCCCCCTTAGTTATTTTGCACTCTTACTAGTATAACTAGGGAATTTTTGTTATCGCTTTGAAATAACAGTCATGCGCTTTTGTTACAGACTGCATGATGACTAATTTGGAGTCCCTATAATAGTACTAAAAAATAATACAAAATTTGAGAGTGAATAACATCTGTTTTTTTTAATTATATATATATGGAATTTTTTAATTTCAACTTGATCTTTAGCGAAAAATGAATAAATAAATAAAGAGGGCTGATTAGGCCTAAGCTTTAGGTCAATGATTATAAGTATGTATGGGTTAGATAATAAGTCTTTGATGTGTGTGAGTTCCAACTTCCAACAAGGGTGGGGATTTTACAGGTCACTCAGTGAAAAAAATACAAAGCGTTTGTTTTAGCTGGGTGTTTTTAATTGGAGTCTTGGTCATTTAGTTGGTGAATGTTTGAAAATGTTGAGAGGTAAAAGCTTTTGTTAATATAAAAGAGATGAGAGTGAAAATGAAATGCCCATACAGAATGACATCAGTGTCGTACCATTAGTGCCTAAAATTATTAAAATAAAAATATTTTACAGGTCAAAGCAGTCATTATATTCAAATCCTACTGGCTCCTGCAGTAAAACTGTGAAACTGATATGCCTCTGTGTGTGATCTTGCTTAGGTGTGTGCATGTGCGTTTTATAGAAAACTCTCTCTCTCTCTCTCTCTCTCTCTCTCGGATTTGCATCTACATTGCCCCATTGATCTTGCCTAGGGTTTGTTTGATGTGGTTGTCCCTAACTCCTGAGCCATATAGAAAATACCCAAATTAAAGATTTCCTTTATCTCTTTACAAACATGTAACAACAAAAAATGCACACATACTTAACTAGTGTAGTTTAATTTTCAGCCTAAAATCTGAAAGTTTGCAATTTTGACTATGTTTAGATCATTTTTGGACCCACGTACTTGTATCAAATGAAAGCAAATGGTCAAAATAATTGAGTAGGGAGTCAAGATGGTTGAGAAAACTGAAAGTATTTCTTCCATCTAAAAATGACCTAAAGATTCAGAATTGTAAAATTTTCAAGCTTTAAGACAAAAATAGTTAACTGGTGACAGAAATTGTTTTGTCTTTTTGTATTTTTGAAGCAAGAGTACTACTTTGGCTTTACCATTGAAGAATCTTTAGAAGACACTACATGGTTATCACCTAACCTCCAATAGTTTGTTCTCTTTTTCGCATTGTCAAATCCTTCTTCATACTTTTTCTCCCTCATTACGATGAGGCAACAAGAATTTCAATACAAGGGCATGAAAAATTGTTGGATAAAGTTCTTGTTCTGCTTCACAGTGTGTATAATTAGATCAGATGTGTGAATTTCACATAGATCAACAATCAGAAGTCGTCCAAACATACATGAGCGAGACTGTAACATAATTTTTATTACTAATATACGTTTTTTTTATTTTTATAAAAATAGTTATTCTGTGTCCTTGTTTATGCTTCTGCTGATTAAGCCCTACATAGCTAGTTGGCTTGATTACTCAATTTATAATGCCTGCGACCCTTTATGATATCCCAGCTTTTAGGCATGTTGGATATGCATCCTATAGCTAGCCCTAATTTAATCCAATCTTTCCCTTATGTAGAACTTAAAAAAAGGATTAGCCATATAAAGTGTACATTCCCTTGACCATCCCCCTTTGCGTGGAGATTCATGATGCTTCAATTTTAGTGGATTCTTAATAGTGCATGCCTCACCCTTTTGTTTATTCTCTTTGCTTTTTATTTTATTTTCAAATTTTTTCCGTGGAAGTAACAAAAAAAAAAAGAAGGAAAAAGAAAAGCTCATTTTGCTTTTATCACGTGTTATATGGTAGCAATATTTTTTTTTTATAAGATCGATGAGTCTAAGTAGTGCATGCAAGCACATTATTGAAGAAATGATTTTCTAGTATGATGCATATTAAAGCAAATGTGATGTTTTGTTCCTAGGGTTTGCACAAAATTTAGCATTTCAAATTAGGGCAATAGCTGTGGATGAAGAGAAAACAAAAAACATTGTCAAAACTTGTATTTTGACTAATGGCTATCACTATCCTGAATAATGAACATCATGCATTATGTTTTCCATAATCTACCAAAGAAAAAGATAAGTCTTCCCACTACATATAGAAAAGCAAGAGGGAGAGAGAGATATTTTTGGTGTTCAGAGAGGGAGAGAGATTAAATTGGTTTATGGTTTTGGGTAAGTAATTTTGATGGAGCTAGCACTCACTCAACTTATAAAAGGCAAAAAGACAAAAGGTGGGTTGATTTTGAATTTGGGAGACAAAATCTTTGATTTTGTGGGAAGATTGTCTTTTGTTTGGTCTTTTTTTTTGTTTTTGTTTTTGGGGTCTCTACTTTAAGGTTGGTAGAATGTGTAGATGGCATTTGATGCATGCTAGTGATCATGATACATGAGGGGGAGAGAGAGAGAGAGAGAGAGAGAGAGAGAGAGAGAGAGATATGTGTTTTGGAAGGGAAACAGCTTGCTCCCAAGGAGTAGTGAAGATGATGAGGTCAGTTTGTCCCTACCCCAATAATTGTAGAATAATATGATGGCTTGGATTGAGGCTTCTTTTTTTGACCTAGTCTCTCTTCTCTTCTGCATATTATTAATTGCTGTTTTCATTAAACAAAGTCACATGAATTCAAATTGGAAACACAAACTCAAAACCCTTTGGCTTTGAGTAAATTTTTCTTCTTCTTTCTTTCTTCTCTTTTCTCTGCTCACAGCTGTAAAGTTTCAAAGGACAACAAAGGAGAGGACCATTCAGAACTGTGGGCCTCTGTCTTTCTCTCTCTCTCTCTCACACACATGCATGACACACATCTATGGCTCTTCTCTCAGTCTCATCTCATGTCCCAGCCAGGGGACTTTGTTCTTTGTACAACATGGAAACAACTTCCATAGGCTGTGCCATTGAAACATGCAAGTGATACTTTTTGTAGCCACTGCCATCTTCAGGTCTACATAATTAATGATCTCTTTTGACCCAAAGAAAATAAAAAGAAGTATATCTCAATGCCTGCATTTTCTCTCTTTTCTTTGGGGTTTAAAATAAGACTTCATATTAGGAACTAATCTTGAGGTAAAATGCCTCAAGACTAGTTGGTATCTATAATATTATTCTGCAGAACTTATAAAATAGTAACCTTATTTTGACTTCCTTAATCCTTTATTATTTCTAGAGACATCACTAATTCTATATGAACTATATGAATTGGTACTCTGAGAATGAATGTTTATCTATATTAACTTTACAACAATTATCCTTTTCTTTCTTAGAGCTTTTGCCAAAGCATTTCTGGATGCAGCAAAACGTGCCAAATCATTCATGGAAAATCCTGCAATCACACACAACCACAAAGATTACTAGGTATTGATGTTACATAACTTGTCCCACAAACTCACAAGATAAGATGAAGATGTGTTCCATATTCGTTGCCCGATGCCAAAGGGAACTTCAAAAAGCTGATGCAGCATTTTCCAATGGCCCCCCTATATAAAATCAGAAGGAGAAGGCCCCAAAAACCATTGTCAAGTAGCAGCAACCTCATCAGCCTGCATTGCACATCCGATGCGTGACCCGAATAATTGTGCCAATGTCCTTCATATCTCTTCTGTAAAACAGTTAATATATTGACACTGGAAAAATCGGCATCCGATGTGTTGGGTTGTGTCCTTGGCTTCACTTACATTATTGAAAAGGGTCACCATCAAAAGAATCTCATCAAATAATGCCAAAACCAAAAACCAATTTAGCTCAAGTGTGGTTCCATAAAAAAAAGAAAAAAAGAAAAAAGAAAAAGGAAAACAAAATGTTCATGTTGTTGACCTTGTACAATCATATTCATTAAAATGTGAAAACATGATCTTGCTTTTTCTGTTGGACTCAACACATTGTAGGCTCTACCATGTAAACTCATTGAAAAAGGGGTTTGATTTATGAGGAAGCTAGCTCAACAGACATACTAATTGAACTGAGCTCCATGACCACTTGGGTTGTTCTCTATTTAATGAGTCATGTCCTCAAGATTCAATAAGTAGTGGAAGTTGATGAAACTTTACACACCAAGATCTTCATGTAGGACCTTTCTCCTTCAATGACCCCAAAATGGCTACCCTACATGTGTCACTCACATTATACCAATAGAATTTTTGCTAGGACACGTGTAACATTTCGGGTGGTTCATGGTACTGCAAATGCTAAATAGGGGTTTATTTACCACAAATGAGTGAAAATGGTTTTACATTTTTACATCATTACTAAATCATGGATGAAACAAGTTGTGTAAGAAAGAACAAGTTTTGGTCCATTTTTCATCCTATATATGCATTTACCTATGAAATTTGAGCAGTACATTTTCTAATCGGTTATCAGTGTGTTACAATTTTCTAAGACGTCATATTAAAATGAGCCTATTTGTAAAAAGCTAAAAGGGTGGGTAAATAGATTAGAGGGTAAATACTAAATGGTCCCTATTTATCTTCTTCTGTATAGTAGTAGGAGGTGAAATTAAATACAAAGCCAAATAGGTGGCCTTTTGGGGCTCTAGAGTCCCTTTACAAAGTCAGAAGAAAAGGACAAGAGAAGTTTGAGGGGCCAGCCATGGCATGTCCCAGAACTGTGAGACTTGGCTGCCAACCTGCAAGCATGTCTGGCTTCTCAGACAAAGATTTGGGTATCTTTTGAACGGGGCTGCAATTACCATAACCCCTATCAACAAATGTTTTCAAAGGGTCTTGGACTCTACAAATTCTATGAGGCTGCTGGGTCTAGTAGTAAAAGGTGGTAGGTGACAACTTCAAATGCTCTATCCAATACAAGGCCCACTGGTCTAACGTATTTACATTTTTAGGGTCCACATAGAATAAATTGACAAGCTATTTTGCAGATATCCTTCCTTAATTTTACTCCCAAATTATTTATAAGATATTAAAGAAGGAATTAATTTATAGAATATTCTATTTTCTCAGATAATGTAGCACGTTACGTTTTCGGACTATCAAATTAAACTGTTGATCACGTGAATTATTGCCTAAGTACACAATTTGAATTAAAATTTGTCATCATAAGTTTCGCAAGATTTGACATAACGTGTGGAATAGTCAACCCCCATCCCCACACACATATAATGTCATTTCTTGTAGGGTAGAGTTGCACATGATGTTTCATACGCATATGGTATCTTTTTATGTACAGACATGTAATTGAGAGTGTTAGCTTGATATACATTGTTGGTCGATTATTAAGTTTTTAGAGTCAAATAATCGTCAAACATGATATCTGAGCTCTCGTTCCTTGAGGATTTACTAGAAAACTATATAGAATTATATACATGTATGTACATATAAATCACCAAAACTTTCTTGATGCATTAATAGTTCATGGGCATTACCGAATTCCGCTATCCCTACAACAAAAAGGTTATATGAAGATGTGAAGAGGACTACGTTGAGCCCCTTGTGGTTAAACTTGAAATAGCTGGAGAGACTATTGCATATATATATCTATTTGCATCATGAAATAACTATTCTTTTAGATTTTATCTGAGGCAAAGCAAAGAGCCTCTGGCCTTTATGGCCTCATACATACCACAACCTGCAACTCCAAAACGATATAAATTATTTGGCCCACAATTTTTTTTTAAATCTTTTTATTTTGTTCATACAAAAACAGAGCCCGTGACTGTTGTCATAGATTTATAGTACACTATTAAAAGTTGGTGTGCCATCAACTCTTTCCTTCCACATCCACTTTTCCCCCCAAAACAGAAAAAAGAATAAGAAAAAGAAAAAAAGAATGAAGAAGAAGAAGAAGCTTCACACACGTGATATCCTGAATTAAACTATGAATCATAAATAAGGTAATATCCTGAATTAAACTATGAATCATAAATAAGGTAATGGCAGAAATCGCAATGAATTACTAACTATTAACTCTACTGCTCTGCACTTACAGCTTGAGGTTAGACGAATCCTTGAGCATTGTATTTTTTTTCTCTATACAAATAACATTAGAGCAATGAGAATCGAATATAGGATCTCGGGTGCATCTAGGTAGATGCTTTTAACCTATGATCCCGTTGCAACCTTGAGCTTCTTTAATGTGGAGTTTTGTAGCTTCAATAGTGCATCTCCATACTAGGCCTCAAAAGTTTGATTTATAGTTGGAGTTACAAAATAATTATATCTTCACAGGACAAGAGTTCAATTCTAATTCTTCCCTTCCAACTTGTAGGGTAAGAACAAATATGAAGCATTGTCTTACAAAATAAAGATATTTTAGGGCTGGCTTCGGGTGTTATGGGTTGGACCGCTTGGCTTTTTGGGCCTCTGTATTTGTTTTGAATTGTACTGGCTCACTTCCAATCCACCTTTTATTTGTTGGTTGTCCATTTGTATTTTCACTTTGCTTTTCAATGAATTTTATTCTCTAACAACGGCTAAGTTATGAAACGCTGTTTTGATGTTTAATGCCAACCAATTATGCCTTGCAAAGGCAAACATTGGATTGAAGACACAAAATGCAAAATGCTTTCAGTAAATCATTTCCAAAATTTTGTTATCTGGAGGTGAGATATTTCAACCACATTCCAAACGTCAAATCATTTCCAGTATGATCTTCCATCCCAGCACCCAAGTTTCTTTAAATTTTGAATTCAAGCTTGAAGTTTTCACAGAGAATATATGTGGAGATTCTGCAAAAGCGAATCCTTGGTGTAACTTGATTACTAAAACAAAGGGTAAATATAAAATGCAAGCTACACTAGAGTTAAGCATTGTCTGTGTTTCGCTTAAACATTTGCGACGACGACCCCGACAACAAACACAGATGCGAATGGTCTGGCATATATCCAAAGACATGCATAGCAGATAATAGATTAGCATCCACAGTAGAGTGAAATTAGTAAAGGCAGCTGGCGCAGCATATAAACATGTCCCACCAAGTAAATGGAAGTCAATTGTCCCATCAAAATCTATATGAAAAATCCATTTAGGAGCTCTGCTTACCAATTGGATCATCCTCCTCGCATATGAGCACCTAATTCACCAAACTGATCATCAGCTTCTACAGTATCCTCAGAAAGGCGCACTGCATCCAGTTTCTGTTTCAGGACTTCGATGGCATTGAGTAACAACTGAGAAGCTTTGACCGCACCAGTAGATTCCACTGTGAAAATAAAACTATCTTCTTTTGCAATGATATCCACAAGCCCAGGTTTCCCCATAGCTTCCGCTTTCTTGATCACTTCATCATCATAGGTGTATGCTTCAGGATCAACCACCACGACCTTTCAAAAGGAAAAGTTCAAAAAAGGAAACGAAAAAAGAAAGAAGATTAAGATAGGCCATCAGGAATTATGACACAGAATTCAAGCAATGGTGATACAATCTCATCAGGGAAACTGTTAGTAAAGTATTTTTTTTTTCTCTTCATATTCTCGTGGAAATGAACAATTTAAGCCTAAGCAAGCTGTAACAGAGACAATACAAGATTCAAATGAATTAGCTAACAAATCTGGGATCTGAATCCACTACCTAGATGATGTATACGTGTATAAAATGCACACCAAATAATTGTCTTGGAGCATTGGCCAGTTAAAGAGCACTTGCAAGAGAATCCCTCTACTATCGGTGACTATAATTCAAACATACACAACATCATTTATCTGAAAGATGGACAACAAGACTTTTTGGCTGTCATATGAAAATTGAATGAATAGCTTTCATTTAAATAGGATTTTTATGAACTCCCTTTAATGGAGTTCATAAAAACATATTTGGCATTCAGATCAATTTCCTCAAGATATTCCACATAAATCAACATGCAGAAATTCAAATATCATGGAATGACCAAAGATACAATAAAGGACGGCAAAATCTAGCGACATGAACCAGAACCTGAAAACTAGGTCCAAAATCAAGCCCTGTAACCACCAGTATAATCATCACTTGCATTCTACAGTGCCTCGATTACCCCTACCATCATGACCTGTGTGCTCCCTCCTAGAAACCACATCTTGCTACAAACAGAACTTTCAGACGCATAATCTTAACAGAAGTAGTAAACATCTACCCACCTATAAGTCATGCTATTGTATAACTACTGTCTACAATCTACTTAAGACAAAAACCTTTTGGCGATTGGCTCTTCATTGGGGAACTTCCCCATTTCCAGAAGTTAAGCAGCATTAGGATAATACACATTACACGATTTCTACCTATCTAATAAAAAGGTTGATAACTAGAGTAAAAGTCAATTATAAATACAAATCGAGGAAAGGTGAACTCTAGACCCCTCCCGAGATAAAAAGAACTGCTACAAACAAATGTATTATAAGATGAAGTACCAATTAAACACATTCAGCGTCACTCCTGAGGAGAAGCAGTACATTTAAATTCCATCTCCTATTTTCCCTTAAGAAGCACCAAGATACTTGAATACTTAGTAATATTCCATTAAATGTGTCCTCATGCTTAGTAAGACGAACTGAGAAGCAATCAAATGATGCACCACTAATGTAAGGATTCAGATAACCAGCACAGCAAGCATCTAAAGCAATGACCATAACAAAATCAGATTATCACATCCATTAAAAAGAAGTACAAACGTAAGAAACAACCAACCTTCTCGGTTTTAGGATCAAAGTCAAAGACTTTGGTAGGACTACTTTCAACCCAAGCCTTCTTCTCATCAAGAGTCAACATATCCATCAACTCCTCATTGATTCGAATATCGGGTTCATACATGAAAGTGACAGTGGCTGCAGGTGACCACTTGGCATGATCTTTGCCAATCCCCTTTCTGGCAATGGCCCTTAGCCTCAGCTCTTGCCCCCTTCGCAACTTCACAATGATAATCCCTCTAAAACCACACCAAAAGTAAAGTAACCAAATTTCAACAGCAAAACCATTCAACCATACCCAAATAACAATACAAATTACGACGTCAAACAAAAATTAGGGGAAAAGGACACATTACAATCTATTCCAAGAACAATACCAAAATCCTAAAAAACCCTATAAATAAGAGAGAGAGTACATACTTTTGTTCAGAGGATTCCATGCCGGCGGAATCGGAGAAATCGACGGGGACGACGGTGTGGTCAGAGCTGAGAAGGTCCTTGCTAGTGACGTCTAGGGTTTGGTCGGAATGGCACTTGGCGCGAAGATGAAACTCGACGGAGCAGAACTCGCACTGGCCGTCGCCGTCGCAGGCGTCGCAGTCACGTGAGAAGCGCATGCTCATGGCTCGGTCGGAGGTCAATGGGATGAGTCCGAGTCTGTGGGCTATGAACTCGTCGTTAAGCACGGACGAGTTGATCTCGATCTCGACAAGGTCGATGGCGACGGTGGGGACCTCGGCGATCATCACTCGCCGGAGCGCGTTGGCGACGCTGGCGTCGGTGTCGCGGAGCTCGAACTTCATGTAGTCGTCACGCATTTCACGGATTTTGACCCGCGGTACCCTCTGGTACGATTTGCCTTCCATTTCTCTATGTCTCTCCGAGTTTCTCACAGTACCGTCTCAGAGCTTAACTGTCTGAGAGAGAGAGAGAGAGAAGGGGTTTGGGTGAAGAAGACGGAGTGGCTGTAGAGAGAGGGTTTTGGGCTTTTTGTTTTGTTTTTGTTTTGATTATTTATTTATTTATTTATTTTTGCTATACAGGGTTTCTGCTTTTGGGCCTATGGTGTTTTATTTGCTGTGCCCTTCAAGTTTAAGTCTATGAAAGATCAATTTAAATTAAAAGCTGCGTTTCAGGATGATTTGTGAATCACTTATGTTCTACATTAGGCCTCATCATTTGGCCCGCGGGCTCATGGGCTTATGGGGGCCCGCCCGGCCCATCGGAAAAAAGCCCGGCCCGGTCTGTTATGGGCTTTGAGAGGGCCCGGCCCGCTTGGGCTTGGGCTGGGCTTGGGCTTAGGTGTTTGAAGCCCGACCCGACCCATAAGCCCAGCCCGATTAAGCCCATAAAAGCCCGGCCCGGCCAGCCCACAAAAGCCCGGCCCGTTAGGCCCGCATACATATATAATTATGTATAAATAAGAGTTTAGGATTAGGATTACATCACTTGAATGACAAATCCCCCTCTTTCATTTTTGTGTGTGTGTGTTACTTGTTTGAAAAATTGTGTTTCTGTTGAATTCTACTCATTCCTAGTTTTTAATTGGATAATTAGCACATTAATTTGTGTCATTTATTAATACAACAATTATATATATATTATATATATATATATATAATAAGACGAACAACATATCATATCACCAAACATAATCATACCACCAAATGTAATCATACTTTTCTTTAACACATCACCAAATATTTGCATATTTATTTATACCATTCTTATAAATTTTTTTTTTTTTTAAACTTATTATTTTTTAGACCCATTTCGGCCCGGCCTGGCCCGATGGGCTTTTTCAAGCCCGGCTTATAAGATGGGCTTGGGCTTTGAATTTTCTAAAAAAAGCCGACCCGAGCCGTCCTGATATTTTCTCTCTCCTCTTTAAAGCCCGGTCCGACCCGGCCCGGCCCATTGACGAGCCCTATTCTACATACATAAATATAATGAAAGAAGATCATTTTTGTTTTGGTGCATTCATGGAGGGCAAGGATCGGGGAAGGGGCCTTACACAAATATTCATTGGGTGCTTAGGAATTTCGAACCACATGGATGAAGGTGGAAGAACTCAACCAATTGAGTTATACCTTACTACAGAAAATAGAAGTTAATTGTCTAACAAATATTCAAAGACTAGTTCATATATATATGCTTAGCAGATAATAGATTAACCATCCAGAATGCAATGAAATTAGTATTAGCATAGGCATATATAATATAAACATGTTCAACAAAGAAGATGGAAGGAAGTGCATTTAAATGTTTGCAAAGTCCAAGGTGAGCTGTGTTGATTGTTCATATTTTTATTGTTATTGCTTCAATTTAGTTTAAAAATTAAATAATTTCCTAAGGAACAACTCTCTAAAAATCCTGAAAAAAAGAGCAAAATAAATAAAATATAGCTCAAGTTCTCAGAGCATTTTGGATAAATATATTCTTAAAAGAGAATAACATATGCTTCAAAATTTGGTTGAAGTTAACAAATGAGATTATTAATGACAAAAAAAGAAAAGAAAAGAGATTATTAGTTGATAAATAAAAAAAGAAAAAGTTTTGCAGTTTTAGCAATTATTGTGTCTATGAGGGAACTCCCTCCACAAAGAAAAAAAAAAGTTTTTCTTTTCGAGTACAAGGATTTGGGAAGGGGGCTTACACAAATATTCATTGGGTGCGTAGGAGTTCCGAATCTCTGCCCACATGGATGGAGGTGGAAAAACTCAACCTATTGAGTTATATCTTACTACAAAAAAAAGAAGTTAACTATCTGACAAATATCCAAAAAGACTAGTTCATATAAATAGGCTTAGAAGATAATAGATTAACATCCAGAACCAGAATGCAATGAAATTAGTATTAGTATAGGCAGTTAAAGCGGCATATATAATATAAACATGTTCAACAAAGAAGATGAAAGGAAATGCATTTAAATGTTTGCAAAGAAGATGGGGTGAGCCAATGAGCCATTGCCACCTTTTATTACATAATAAGAAAAGGAGAAAAGGAGAAAATAAACTACTCTTCTTACAACTTGGAAAAGAAAAATGAAAAATAACAAGGTTGGTGTTGGAAAGCCATATATCTATCCATCCACTTATGAATGAGCGCTATTTACCTGCTGCTTCCTTCCTTGCAAAGGTCTCGCCCATTACACGAAAATTGCTGAATCTATTACTTTGACGGTTCTGAATCTATTATTACCTTTTGTTTTCCGAAACAAAACTCTGGGGCCTACACGATGCTCTGCTTCTTGAACATGAATCCCATCCATTAAACGCGAAGGCATATCAACCAATACTAGAGATTTAAGATTTTCGAGGTGGCGGATGCCGGAGGGCACCTGTTGTAGTTGCGGACTAGGTCCAATTTTCAAAGTTTCAAGAAGGGGCAATGCTCCATTGTGTATTGTCATCAACTTCAGGCCTTTCAAGGGTCTGAGAATGAGCTTCTTCAGTTTCGGAAATCCTCCTTCAAAGTGCAGCTCCTCACAACTAAACGCCTCATGGATCACAAGGTGCATTAAATTGGGTAGAACTTGTAGGACTTTTAAGGGATCATGATCACCTGCTAGTCCCGACCAACATAAACATAATTGAGTTAAAAGACAAAGTCATGCAATCCAATCAGGTAGCTTTTCTAGACGCCCCATCAAAGAGAAAGATTGAAGACGTTGAGGTGGATTGGAGATATGCTGTATATCAATAATTTCATCATTATTTATTGCTTTTACTTCCAATGATCGCAAGTGAGGCATCTTTCCAATGGACACGCATAGATCTTTCCCATGTTTGCTGGTTAGTTTTTGAATTCCGAAGCTTTTTTTTTTTTTTTTTTGGTGAAAAGACGGGGCCAAGCCCAAAAGAAAACACTAAACTACGGCCCGAGGCCTACAAAGACCACGCAGGTCATCAACAAACGAGGACCGAATACTGTCTGGGGGCACTTGAAAGGAACTGAGACCCAAATCAAGGCAAGAGCCCAAGTTAGCAAGTCTATCAGCCACCATATTGCATTCACGATAGACATGAGAAATAGAGCAGCCCCAACATCGTTTGATGTAGTCCTGGCAGCCCCATAACAAGGTAGCAAGAGGGTGGAGGGCATCCACAGCTTTATTGAGAAGATTCACTGCAACGGCTGAGTCAGATTCCAGCACAACATCACTACAGCCCATATCCCAAGCAGATTTGAGACCATAGTAGATACCCCATAACTCAGCATCTAATACTTGACCATAACCAATATTAGCAGCAAACCCTTTAACCCACATCCCAGAGCTTGATCTAAGTACACCACCAGCAGCAATGCGACCAGTCTCTCCATTTCGGCAACCATCAGTATTAATTTTAGTCACTCCTGCAGCAGGGTACTGCCAGGATAGATTGGCTATGGAGCGGATGGGTTTATGAGCAAGATCAATGTTGGCAAATTGCCAATCTGCAGCAGCCAAAAGAATTATGTGGTTGGGATTGGGAGGGAAGACAAACCCAGGATCGAAAATCTTCTGGTTCCTCCATTTCCAAAGGAACCAGCATGTGAAAGCAAACAGAGTAGACCACACAACCCTGTAACCCATTAAGGTGTAGTTGTGTAAATTTTTTCCAGCCCAGGTAATCAAGTTGTCATCCTGCGACAAGTGCAGACTTATAGGCAAGGAGGATTGGCGCCAAACAAGAGAAGCCAATAAACAATTCCTGACAATATGATCCACATTCTCCACAAGGGGCACCACAAATGTCACAATTTGCATGCAGAGTCAACCTTCGCCTGACTCTTTGTTCATTAGTTAATAACCGATCTTTATGGAGTAACCAAAGAAAAAATTTAATCTTAGGGGGAGCCTTTAAAGACCAAATAAAGGCCCAGCTAACATCCATACTTGAAGAGTCCCTACAGTTAGCCCTGTAAGCAGATTTGACACTAAAAGAACCATTAGAGGTATGTTTCCAAATAGGAGAGTCAGGTTTACAAACTAACCCAGCAGGGACACAAATGATATGGGCAACCATCTCAATGGGTAAGTCTTCCTTTAACTTCTGAATATCCCAAGTTCCATGAGCAAGGTAGTCAGCAACTTTCAACTGGAGTTTATCTTCATCCACTCCCTCAACACTCTGGATCAGAGGACCATCACCAAACCAATAATCAGTCCAAAAGAGGGTGTGCAACCCGTCGCCCACTCTAATTTTCACTCCATTTTTCAAGACGTCAACACCATGTTCAATGGCACGCCATGAAGGGGAGGGGGAAGAAGACATAAGCCTTCCATTCCTGATAATGCTCGAGCTATTACCATGTAGGTACTTTTTAATCAAAGCATCAGACCAAAGGTTATCTTTTTGTTGCAACAGTCTCCATCCAACCTTGGCCAACATAGATTGGTTCATAAGAGCCGTATGCTTAAGGCCAAGACCACCTTTCTTCTTACTCATACAGATAGAACCCCAATTGACAAGGTGGGTTCTCGAGTTGTCACCATTGCTGCCCCACAAAAAGTTCCTATTAATTTTATCCAACTCATCACAAGTACTTATAGGCATCTTAACGGTTTGCATAGTATACAATGGGATAGATCTCCACAGCAAGGCTAGTATTAACATTTGGAGAGCAAAAAATTTGAGACTTCTCAAAACTGATAACCTGGCCAGAAGCTAGGCAAAATCTATCAAGACATCGTTTCATCACTCTAGCCTGTCTGGTACTAGCTTCGGCAAAGAGGAGCAGATCGTCCGCAAAACACAGGTGGGAGATCTTAGGGCCATTTCTGGAGATATTGACAGCTCTCCATTCATTCTTGACAACAGCCTCACTAATCAGATGAGAAAGCTTCTCAAGACACAACACAAACAAATACGGTGATAGGGGGTCCCCCTGTCGCACTCCTCTTGCAGGAACAAAAGGCGGGGTAGCTTCACCATTCACAAGGATTTGGAACTGAACTGTGGAGACACATTGCATGATTAGTTGGATTGTAGACTCAGGAAGAGTGATCTCTCTCAGAACATACTCCAGAAAATTCCAGTTCACTCTGTCATAAGCTTTAGAGAGGTCAATTTTCCAAGCGATAAAACCTTTTTTCCCTTTGGAGTGCCTGAATTTATGTAGGAGTTCCTGAGCCAAGAGGATATTGTCTGAGATTGATCTTCCAGGTATGAAGCTAACTTGATTAGGGCTAATCAAATGTTTGAGCAAAGGACGAAGCCTACTCACCAGAATCTTAGAGATAACCTTGTAGGTGGTGTTGCACAAGCTAATAGGTCTCATTTGTGCCATTGACAGAGGGCTAGGCACCTTAGGGACAAGCACAATCAGGGTCTTAGCAAGGTCAGGGGGGACTTCCCCAGTAGAAAACACCTGTTTGACAAGGTCACACACCTCATCACCACAAACATCCCAACACTGTTGATAAAAACAAGCAGCAAAACCATCCGGACCAGGGGCTTTATGAGGGCCAATTGAGAACAAGCTATTTTTAATTTCACAATTGTTCACAGGGAGCAACATCATGTCCAACAAGTGTTGATTAGCCTCAGGGAAAAGATTTGGGAGAGTAGAAGTGCCTGAACAAGTTTGATCATCATTGAAAAGCTGCTGAAAATATGTGGTGGCAATAGATTTAATGCCATCAATATCAGTAATCCAGTTCCCTGTATCATCATTGAGACCAAGGATTTTATTTCTTCTTCTTCGGACCACCGTTGTCATATGGAAGAATTTGGTATTCCTGTCCCCATCCTTATTCCAATTGATCCTAGATTTTTGCATCCACATCATCTCTTCTTGATCAAGAATTTGTGCGTATTCCTGCTGCAAAATAAATTCAAGGTCAACAAGGAAAGGGTTGTCTTGTATACATAAGGATCTTTGGATACCAGCAATCCGAGCCAACACCGATTTTTTCCGAGTGCGAAGGTGGCCAAAGACTTGGGAATTCCACATTTTTAGCCGTGTGGGCAGTTCCCCAATTTTAATCAGTAGGTTCCCATGGTATTGATTCCAAAAATTAGCTACAAAACGCTGGAAATCAGCATGCTTAAGCCACATTGCTTCAAATCTAAAGGGTTTCAGATGAGCATGAGATTGAGCAGTTGGGTCTAGCTGAAGGAGAAGAGGACAATGATCAGATTTCGCCCTTGCCAGGTGAGTGATACAAGCTTCAGGAAAAATGAGTCGCCATTGGTGGTTGCAAAGACCTCTGTCAAGTCTAATCAAAACCAAACCCCCTACAACACGCATATTAGACCACGTAAACTTGGCCCCATTATAGCCTAAATCAATAAGACTATTATTTTCCACCCACTGTTTCATGCCACCAGCTCTAAAGGAACTCCGAGAGCTGCGCTTCTCATAGGCAAAGAGATATTCATTGAAATCCCCCATAATGAGCCAAGGAAATTGGTGAGTCGCTGCCACAGAGTCGAGGTGCTGCCAAAGAGCCTCACGCTTAGTGTTGCAAGGGCTGCCATAAACCATAGTGGATAGCCAAACTTGACCCGAAGGGAGAGTGATCAGAGATGAGATGGCTTGGTCGAAGAGACTCACCACTTCTAGCTTGCAGCGCATATCATCCCACAGAACCCAAATACCCCCAGAGAAACCCACGGCATCCACCCTTTCATATCTTGGAAAACCCATATTTTGAATGACTTTCAGAGAATTGGCCCCGCTTATTCTAGGTTCAACCATAACACAAATACTTATATCATGGGCCCTACAATGATCCTTAACTGCAGTCTGTAGAGCTTTTCTACCTGCACCTCTGACATTCCAAAAGAGAATATTCAACATAATGAAAGACTGAAAGGAGGAGGACCAAACCTAGGGCCAGCAAAGTTGGAATCGAGCTTCGTGGTTCAAAATGCTTCAACTGAGCAAAACATCGAGCACATAGAGTGCATAGTTTGCTGAACCCAAATCCACAGGTAAGAGCACAGAACCAAGAGTATCTTTACCCAAAGAAGAAAGAGAAGACAATGGATTTTTTCTCCCCTCTCCCCAGTGAGAGTTCCCTCACCGTCTCTGGTGATCTCTCTAAGCTTTGTCTTAGCTCTTTCATTAAGTTTTTGTTCTTCATTATCTTTTAGCCTTTTCTCCCTAATCTATCCTTGAAAGATCTCAGCCTTTACGAATCCGAAGTGAGACCTAACCACCCAAGACCACCCTCTTTCCCTCCTATCGCCACCTTTCTCATCGGCCTTCCGTACCACAGCCCCCTCTCTCTCTATCTCTCTCTCTCACTTCCACTCACTCACTCTCCCCAAATCCCAGGCCCAAATCTGTCTCCTTCCCTCCCTGGTGCTATTCCTGCTCAAAAAGATATTTTTCTCTTCCTTCCTTCCTAATTCCAAAGATTCCTTTCTTTGCCATCATCTGCCTGAAGTTTGCTTATTAGCTTTTGCATGTTTCCCCAACGCTCGATCCCATCCTGAATCACCACACCTCGTCGTCTAGTCAAACTAAACTCTTTCTTCTTGTCCTCATTGTATGCTAAAAGACTTCTAAGTTTATGAAGCTTATTGATTTCAATTGGTATCTGATCCACTAAGGAATGCATCAAGTCTAGAGTCTCGAGGTTCACAAGCTTCCCCATGGATTTTGGAAGAATCTTCACTCTTGTATTCCTCAAGCTCAAATACTTCAAGTGGTACATGTATCCAACTTCCTCAAGAAGATTGTCAAGAAGAATACCTTCAAAGTCCAGTACTCTCAATAGCTTGAATCTTTTGTACAAATTACTACAAGTAGTAAGAGGATTTTGTGGCTCACCTATGCCATTGAAAAAACACAAGGAATGGGCACGAGAGTTTTTGATACTACCAAAAATATTGTATGCATTGCTATAAACAGATAGGTGCCTGGAATTTTCATTGAAACTTGAATCTTCTTCCAAAAATTGAGAAAAGGTCAGATCTTCAGTCCTTAAACGAATCACAGCCTCTCGAATGACATCATGGACTTGACATCTTCTGCGTTTCCCATTGAAATAAACTAATGACACTTGAACTAGGCTTCTTTGGATAAGCTCAGTTAAGTATTCTTCCGCAACATCTTCCAATGTTTTTCCTCTCTGCTCCTTTACAAACCCTTCAGCGATCCATTGCCGAATTAGTCTAGCACATCTGATGGTGCGATTTTCTGGATATGTCCCAAAGTATAAGAAGCAAGGTCTGAGTTGGTATGGTAAATCATAATAGCTAAAAGAAAGAATTTTTGTAATATTTGTCAAATGATGATTAGACTCCAGCTCTGAGCTAAGACTATCAAGCAATTTTCTCCATTGAGACACATCCTCGCCTTTGGTTTGTAGAAGTCCATTTATAGCCACAATTGCAAGAGGCAATCCTCCACATCTACTAACTATTAGACTCCAACTCTGGTGGATAATATCCCTCGGTATATCGAAATGTCTTCTTGCAGAAGAGTTCCCACGCCTTATCTGGAGACAATGGTTCAAGGTCGTACACTTTATCAGAACAAGCTTCTCTGCAAGAAGCAGTGTTAAGCTCATAATTTCATACATATACATGCCCAAATTTACTTACTTCTTTTGCTTAGTTTCCTAGATTTCTATGTTATTTGCCTCTCTTTGTGTGTTTTGTAGGCAAAAAGAGCAAGAGAGCATAATTCATGCAATTCAAGCATGTTAAGGCCTAATTTGGATGAATGGATGAAGAGCTTAAAGACAAACTCATTTTGGCTACAGCCCCCTGCC